CAGAAAAATGCTTAAAATAAGTTAAAAATTGCTTAAAACAAGCCAAAAGCAATAAGCTGGATAACCCCAACTTATTGCTTTTTGGCTTAAAAGTTATTTCTGCTGAAAAGCCACTTTTTTTAAGCCAATCCAAACGGGCTCACACTTACTAACATACATGGAAAAATTCTGGCGAGAAATTAAGCAGAAGAAGAGGAATGTAATTTAGAGCCACCAAATTTTGGTCACCAAAAACTACAGAAAAAATGTACAGACCCAAATCAATTACCAACAAAGAAGAGCAATACAAACTATAAATTGTCAGACAACTCATACTTGCGCATTCACCCGACAATTCATATTTAATCCCACAGGTAAAAAAGATCCACAAGCACCCATTTTTCACAGTCAGCAGCAGCGATTCGCATAAAAAATCCATCACCAAAATTTTAACCCGAATAAGAAAAATACATGAGGATAAATCCCTATATAATCCTAGTCACATTAGAGGAAAGAAGAGCAAGAAAGTAACAATCACTGAAAAATAATAATTGTGTTATAAAACAATAAATGTAGAAGAACAATATTGCAGAGAAAAGTAGAGAGAGAATTCTTATTGATATTGGATGAATTACAATAGAATAGAACCCTCTATTTATGGGGAGATGATGACTTAGCCACCAAGCAATGAATCCTAGAATCTCTTTAAATATAGACATTCACCATAAATACAATTCTATTTATAACACTCCCCCTTGAATGTCTATTCAACAGATAATGTGCCTCGTTAAAACCTTAACTAAAAACCCAATGGAAAAAAAATTCTAGAGAATGAAAGAGAGTACACATATCTAACAATACGTATTTTGGTTGCCTCGTTAAAAACCTTGCAGGGAAAACCCAGTGGGACAAAACCTTGTAAGGGAAAAAGAGTGCAACGCGCATTAGCTCCCCCTGATGAGAGCATCAATTCACATCCTTGAGCTTTCGCATTCCAATCTTGTGCACCATCTTCAAAAAATCATTGGTAGAGATTTAATAAACAAACCAGCCATATTAACTTCAACAAATTTGTTTCACCTTGAAATCATCATCCCAAATAGATGTATTGTCTTCATATGATCTTGTTGGAATCATCATTTCAATATCTTCACATAGGGGTGAAAACCCTTGCTATCATATTATCATGCTTATAGTTATAGCAAGATACATATGTGCACAAATTGCATTTAGGATATGCTACTTCAGGACCAAGAATTGTATATGCTTTAAACGATTTAAATCCTTCAAGGATTGTCATATAAGTTAAGTCATATAAGTCATATAATAAACTTTAATTAGATGCATATCAAGTTTTCATGTCACGCTAGACAAATAAGATATCGAAAACTGATTGCACATATCATTGACTTTATACTTTCAAGTGTTTGAACTGCAGGTCCAAAACTACATGTCTTTCATATGAAACCAAATTCTACTCGAATTGTTTCTCCAGACTTAAGATCCTCATATATATATTTAGCGTTATTATAGATGTCGTCGACAAACATTTTATATGGGTTCCAACCTCCTTATTTTTCATAAAGACATAACATAGAGATCTCTTCATTTATATTTTCAAGTACCTGAATCTTTCTTGAGATTTTGTGAAGTGTTATGTCATGTGATCTTCTAGATCACTTGCATCCTTTTGTTATGATCATTTAGATCATTTTCTCATCTTCTTTATCAAGAAGTTTATTTGAAACCGATTATTCTAATAGGAGCATTTGCAGTGAGAATATAGTTACTTTCTTTGGGTCGGCAAATGCGTTTGGCATGCTTTGTAATATATTGCACATGAATTATCTTTTTATGAACTTCAAGTTCATATTATCTTATTCGAGGATCTAGATGTACAAATGATAATTCATTCCACGTAACTTTTTCTCAACTGTTTATCATGTCTCCGCCTCATGTTAGAAAAACTAACTTGTCACCTTAACTTTGAGAATCCACCTTTGTGCGTTATGGTGTTAATCAAAATATACACCGCACATCAATAATAATAAGATGGAATTATTTGGTTCCTGACCCTGAACCACTTGTGAGGGGAGAAAATAATATACCTTGGTATATAACGTATATCAAACTGATATAGATAACTTTGTTCTCATAAGCAATTATTTAGCTATTAAGTAGAGGCACTTAATAAATCATTTTGCTAAACCAACTGTGATGTAAACCAACTTATCAAGATGAACTTCTTGAATAGAAAATATGGAAATTATACTCGAAATTAAATTATAGAGCAAGTTACCTCGCAAAACACCATGTTGCGGGTTAATAACAATCGCACATGTAACCCTCTCATAGATGCACCTTATGTGGTATACATGGCAGGTGAATGGGCCCATATTCACCTTTGATATTTCCAGAATTCATGGGATTCGGTCCCAATTTTGTGGGCTTATTAATTAATGAGAACAAACAATATTAGAGAATTCGTAAAGAACTTTCTAGTTCTTTAATGATTTACCCATGTGAATTCTCTATTTTTGCACATCATACTTAAATTGATATGGCTAAACCAATTATGCCAACTTAATAAATTATCAATATTGATAAACTTCATATTTACACCATGACGTGTGCAATTATCAATAAACTCCAAGTTTATTATGATATGAGTTTTTATATCAATAAACTTCTACTTTATTGTGGCATTCTTTTATTTGTGTAGTACAAACTGGAGAATAAAGTGGGTAGCTTTTTACATACATACTACCCCGACATAAGTTGTAGTAATAGAAGATATTAAATCTTTCCTTTATTTATAGTCTCCGTATGACCAACCGCTTTCGCGAATACTTTAGAAACTCAATTAAGTTTCTTTGAGACTTACTACAACACAATGCCTTATTGATAATCTATTTTATTCCTCCAAAATAGTAATAATTGGCTCTTCCAGAGCTCTCAATTAATTTGGTACTACACATATTCATCAACATCCATATGGTGAATATCTCTTTTAAATAGAAATTTATACCGTTATGGTTATGGTCAAAATTATATGCAAGATCTGTTTCTTGCATTACCGTTGTCTTTTAATAATCACAATGCCATGTTTTGGTGTACAATAAGTACGTGACCAATGACCATTTATGCCAGAATAAGGACATTATTTTCTTATTTCCTCTCAAACCTCCTTCTAGAGGTGAGTGTGGTATATACCACTAGCACGCTCATATTCTTCTAATAATGAATATGTATTCATAAATCACATGTTATCACATTCATATCATGAATGGACCATAATCATTTATATGTGCTTTACAAAATTTCATGTCAAATCGATGACAAATATTACTTTCACAGAGTGAAGGATTATTTTGAGAATCCTTATTATTCTCATTATCACAATGATGACGATTATAATTTCGTCTATTGCCGCATCCACATCCATTGATACATTCATAGTAGTAATTTTGTCTTCTTTCAGACTTATTCACATACTGCTATCGCATTCTCTTAAGGGAATGAGAATGGAGCAAATTCATTGGGACGGGTTTTCAATTCTTTGCCCACAATCATACATGAGTTTGATCATGGCAAGGCATAAAAATTTTACCACTTCAGGTGGTTATAATTTCTTACAAACTCTATTAGAGTTATAATCAAACTTTGTTGTCTTTGCTTGTATATAAAATCAAATTATAGAATAAAAGAGAAAAATACGATATTAAATCCAAAATTTAATCATGACTGAAGTTCATGGAATAATTGACAATCATTATGATCAATCCCAAAGCTTCTACTCAATTGGTTAGAGTCTCGTGCTGATAACGTATTATAAAACAATAAAAGTAGAAGAACAATATTGCAGAGAAAAGTAGAGAGAGAATTCTTATTGATATTGGATGAATTACAATAGAATAGAACCCTTTATTTATAGGGAAATGGTGACTTAGACACCAAGCAATGAACCCTAGAATCTATCTAAATATAGACATTCACCCTAAATACAATTCTATTTATAACAAATTGCCTGAAAGAGATTGAGAGATTGAGCGTACGATAATTAATAGTACAAGAAAGAAAGCCTAAGAAAATGTGTCACAATCGTGTTATTGTAAATAATGGAGGGACAATTACCAATTTAATAAATGAAGAAGTATTATCAATTTATCCCTAACGTAATTTGTAATTCCAAGAGTGCCCATGTTTGTACCCCTGCCTGTTTGTACACCCAACTCTCACTTCTAAATAATAAATATATATAAATGCAACTATTGGCTCTGTTTTTCTTATATCTCATAACGGAACTTGCAAGCTGTAAAACAAATATCAGCTTAATGTTTTCGTGTTTAGAAAGTGTTTTTACTATAAAAATCTTCTTCAGCCGCGGATATGTTGAGATCAAAGGAAGGTTTTTTCGATAAGCTATTGATCATTTTGTTGAGTCTTAAAGCAATATTTTGTTTGTTCATAAACTAGCACCTTCAAATTCGCTTCATTTTTCTTTACGTTTCGTTGCAACGGCTGGGCATCACCGGTGGTAGCGGTGAAAGCCCCCTATTTGTTTGGTTCCGTGATATTTTGTGTGTATTTCAGGTTAGGGCCAGTGGCTTTGGGCAGCGAGCGAGACGTGCACATGTAAACAGTAAAGAACAACCCGAATGTCAACAAGGAACGACAGGAGTTAGACGTGAACGAGCTAGGTGGCCGCAACACCGTCGGGTATACCAAAACAATTCCCAGGTTCTACTCACGGGAGTTGGTACCTCCCATTTTCCTGTTTCCCTCTATTGTGTTAGTTAAATTGCTGTCGTCTTAGTTCTTATTAGTTTATTCACCGTATTAGTGTGCCTGTAGTGGCAACTTGTCTTCTTCTAGTTTGGTCTGTTGTGAGTGTTAGTTATTCCCCTAGTTCGTCGGAGGTATAGTGGCTGTGGTCTGGGATGGTCGAGTGAGTTCATGTCCTCGGGGGGAGCGGGGGTGGGTCGGGAGGTAGGGCGGGGGTTAGGGGGTGGGTTGGAAGCATGGGAGGTAAAGGGAACAAGGGTGTTTATCGATTGAGAATTGGGTCATGGAACGTAGGTACATTGACAGGTAAGTCTATAGAGTTGGCGAAGATCCTCCAGAAGAGGAGGGTCAATATAGCTTGTGTCCTGGAGACAAGGTGGGTAGGGTCGAGTGCGAGGGACGCGCACGAGTATAAACTTTGGAACTCAGGAACCCAGAAGGGTAAGAATGGAGTGGGTATTTTGGTGGATAGGGAACTTAGAGAGTCTGTGGTCGAGGTTAGACGAGCGAATGATAGATTGATGATTATTAAGTTGGTGGTTGGACAGTGCACCCTAAACGTCGCTAGCGCCTATGCGCCTCATGCGGGCCTAGATGAGGAGGCTAAACGACGCTTTCGGGAGGAGTTATATGAGATTATGTGTCAGGTACCACCTGCTGAGAAGTTATTCATAGGAGGGGATTTCAATGGTCATATTGGGTCGACCGCAGGTGGGTATGACGAAGTGCATGGAGGCTTCAATTTTGGGGAGAGGAACGGAGGAGGAACCTCGTTGCTGGACTTCGCTAAGGCTTTTGGGTTGGTGATTGCAAACTCTAGATTTTCGAAGACGGAGGAGCATTTGGTTACTTTTCAAAATGCGGTGGCGAAGACTTAGATTGACTATCTCCTCCTCAGGAGGTGTGACATAGGGTTGTGCAAGGATTTCAAGGTGATTCCAGGTGAGATACTCGTGACTCGATATAGACTCTTGGTGATGAACGTTGGTATTATGGTGAAGGGGAGGAAAATGTCTGTTCGAGGAAGAACGAGAATCAGGTAGGGAGCCTTAACTAAGGATAAAGCCCAAGATTTGGAGGGGCGGTTGTCAGTTATAGGAGCTTGGAGGAGCAGTGGTGACGCGAGCACTATGTGGTCAACGACAGCAGACTGTATAAGAGAGCTGCGAGAAAGGTGTTGGGGGTCTCGACGGGCGTCTCTGGCAGGCACAAAGGAGAATGGTGGTGGAATGAAGTGGTACAAGGTAAAGTGGAAGCGAATAAGGAGGCGTACCAGACGTTAGTGGGGAGCATAGGTGAGGAGGAGAGGCGAGCGTGCATGGAGAGGTATAAGGTAGATAGTAAGGAAGCAAAGCTGGCGGTCACGGAGGCTAAGATTGCGGCTTATGGTCGTATGTACGAGGAACTAGGGGAACAAGGTGGGGAGAAGACGTTATTTAGGCTGGCCAAGCTGAGAGAGAGGAAAGATCGAGATTTAGACCAAGTGAGATGCATCAAGGACGACGATGGTAGAGTATTGATGGAAGATTCCCAGATTAAGAGGAGATGGCAGAATTACTTTCAAAAACTTCTTAATGAATTAGGGGATCGGGATATTGAGATAGGTGAATTGGAGCATTTCGAGAGTCACAGTGACTCTGGGTACTGCAGGCGCATCAAGGTTGAGGAGGTCGTGGGAGCTATGAGTAAGATGAGTAGGGGCAGCGACCGGGCCTGACGAGATTCCGGTAGAATTTTGGAAGTGTGTGGGGAAAACAGGTTTGGAGTGGTTGACTAGGTTGTTGAGTGTTATTTTTAAGGCAAAGAGGATGCAGGATGAGTGGAGGTGGAGTACGATGGTCCCATTGTATAAGAACAAGGGTGATATCCAGAGTTGTAACAATTATAGAGGTATCAAATTACTGAGTCACACTATGAAATGGGAGAGGGTAGTTGAAGCGAGGTTGAGGATGACGGTGTCCGTTTCTGACAACCAGTTTGGGTTCATGCTGAGCCGTTCTACTATAGAAGCTATACACCTTGTTAGGAGGTTGGTTGAAATCATCCAAAAAAGCATTTGACCTAAAGTTAAAGTGCCATATCTTCCAAAACTTCCCTTCCATATAGATCGTCATGGCATGAACTAATTTCTATAGAGATAGGAAGAAAGACAATCACATGGTGTTTATTGACCTAGAGAAAGCGTATAACAAGGTTCCTAGAGAGGTTCTCTGGAGAAGCTTGGAGGCAAAAGGCGTGTCGGTTCCCTACATTATGGCGATTAAGGACATGTATGATGGGGCAAAGACTCGGGTTAGGACAGTATGAGGCGACTCTGAGGATTTTCCGATTGTTATGGGGTTACAGCAAGGTTCTGCGCTCACCCCGTTCTTATTCGCCCTGGTGATGGACGCGTTAACACACCACATTCAGGCTAGAGGTTTGGAGACAGGCTCTTGAATCTAAGGGTTTCAAGTTTAGCAGGACGAAGACGGAATACCTGGAGTGTAAGTTCAGCACTGAGCAGGGGGAAGTGGGTGTGGATGTGAGGCTTGAATCACAGGTCATCCCGAGTAGAGACAGCTTCAGGTACCTTGGGTCGGTTATCCAGGGGGGAGGGGAGATCGACGAGGATGTCACACACCGTATTAGAGTAGGATGGATGAAGTGAAGGTTAGCATCTGGAGTATTGTGTGACAAGAGAGTGCCACTGATACTCAAAGGTAAGTTCTATAAATTAGACCGGCCATGATGTATGGGGCTGAGTGTTGGCCTGCTAAAAAGTCACTTATCCAGAAGATGAAGGTAGCAGAAATGAGGATGTTGAGGTAGATGTGCAGGAATACTAGGATGGATAAGGTTAGGAATGATGATATTCGGGAGAAGGTGTACGTGGCTCCAATTGATGACAAGATACAGGAGCGAGGCTCAGATGGTTCGGGCATATTCAGAGGAGAAGCCCGGATGCTCCGGTAAGGAGGTGCAAACGACTGGTTGTGGAGGGCACGAGAAGAGGTAGAGGGCGGCCTAAGAAGTATTGGGGGGAGGTGATCAGGGAGGATATGAGGAGGCTTCAGATTTCCGAGGACATGGCACTTGATAGGAATATATGGAGGTCGAGTATTAGGGTTATAGGTTAGGAAGTAGTTGAGTCTTGCCTTATGTCATAACTTTGTGAGATTAGTTTGGTAGGGATACTATTTCGCTTTTGCTTTGCATCTTTCTTCTGGATTTCATGTTGTTCCTATTTTTCCTATTATTTCTGTGGTGTTACTGATATTGTCTCCTTTTGTCTTTTTGTCCTCTTGAGCCGAGGGTCTTTCGGAAATAGCCTCTCTACTCCTTCGGGGTATGGGTAAGGTCTGCGTACACACTACCCTCCCCGGACTCCACTAGTAGAATTTCACTGGATCGTTGTTGTTGTTGTTTGTTTTTTGGAAGGTTTTGCAATAAAAAAATTACTTTTCAAGAGAAGATTGAGTTTGGAAGATAAGATTGGTACGTGAACTATAGAGCTCTCAGTATGGGCTGGCCTGGCCCGGCCTAGCCCAGCCAACCCATGCGAGTTTTGGCATTTGACGGACTAGGCTGGGCCAGCTTACTATTTTGGTGGGCCTTAAAATAGTTAGCCCAACCCAAGCTTACATGGGCCACGGCCTCCCACGGGTTGGCCCATCATTCTTAAAATTATTTTTTATATTTTTTTTGGATAGACAGCTTTTGTAAAACTTAATCACTTTTTACATTGTTCTAATAGATTACTATAAAACACAAAAACAGAGACAATGTTTCATTTATTAAAAGTCAATACTCAAAACAAACTATTCAAAAATATTTTCAAGGTGCTCATGGCATATCCAACACCAACAAATCATCTTTATCAAATACATTTGAATCCTCTTGTGAAACAAAGATGTTTTCACATCTTTATTTTCATCTAAATTTATAATTATATGCAATGTTAATTAGTTAAACATTAAGAAATAACTAAATTTTTAAGAAATTTAAATTCACATAAAAAATATTACTCCCCCCGTTTCAATTTATATGAGGTAGTTTGACTCGGCATGGAGTTTTGAGAAAAAAAAAAGTAGACTTTTAAACCTTGTGGTCTTAAAAGATTAAGGGGTAAAAGTTTTTTGGCACCATGACATTTGTGTGGTTATAAAAGTTTCTCAATAAGGGTAAAATGGGTAAAATGAAAAATTTAAAGTTGAATTATTTTCAATTGTAGAAATGTGTCTGTAACACTCCGTAAATTTGGCTTAGGTATGGATGTGTTAAATGAGTAGTAATGTTACATTTTAGAGATGTGAAGTTCTATTGGGATGAGTATTGGTGGAAATAGTTGTTTTAGAATCAAGATGGAGTATGAGGTGCATAAGATTCAACAAAATCGACTAACACAAAAGGTTCATCTTCCAGCACGATTCAGTGAAAACGTGTAAGGAATTTGGGAAAACTCAAAAGACTGAAGTTGTATCCATTTGAAATAGCTTTCCAATGATATATTGTGGAGCCCAAACGGATCTCTGTGCAAAAAGTTATGTGTGTTTTACAGAGTAGTATGCAATATGCACGCCCAGGTGCGCGACCGTGCACTTGTGGCAGTGCTACTGCCATTTTGCGCATTTAGGTACGCGGTCGGGCCTTCAAGTGTGTGTGTGTGGGGGGGGGGGACCTGGGGACATTATAAAGCCCTACTTCATCACCCACACCTTAAAACATAAAAACTTGCTGTAGAAAGGAAAGCTCTCATGAACCTAACTCCTTATAGGTCCCTCTACCATCCAAGGTTAGTTCTAATGGTGATTCTAAGTTAATTTCAATTTTTCAACATCTTATTAACATGGTTAAACCCTCCATATCATTAGATATTCGATTGTGACATCATTGTTGAGAGAAGGAACCCTAGAACTCGAATTCAAGGGGATTGAACTTCAAAAAGGTAATGTATTCACCCTCTAATTGATTCAAGAATTGGATTAATGATTATTGACTCTAGTTCATGAGATATGATTTGATGGGTTTGATAGAAAAGCATGAACAGTTATAGGTTTCGGTTGTTGATTGTTGATTATTGATTAAGTTTGTTGTTTACCTTATGGGTGATAAAGAATGGTATTAATTATTGCAATTTGAGGTTTTAGAATTTATCCAGGAGCAAGAGAATGGGTTTTTGGGTGAAGAAACACCACTAAAGAGGGCTATGAAGCTTTATACTCACCAAGTGCTTGATAAAATGCCCAAGTGACCAAAACATGAGTATTCTTGCTAATATGGAATCCCTTTGACTTGTATTGATATAGATTAAAGTTAAAAGGGTCAACGAATATTGTATTACGCTCAAGAGCAGGAAGTTAAGGTATGTGAGGCTAACTCTTTATGTTAGGGCCCGACGGCTCAAAGCATCGACCACCACATTGGCCTTGCCCGGGTGGTACAAAATAGTGATATCATAGTCCTTCAGCAGCTCTAACCACCTCCTCTGATGCAAATTATGGTCCTTCTGCTTGAACAGATGCTGCAAACTGTAACGACCCGGCCGGTCATTTTTGGAATTTACGCCCCGATCCCCCATTAACTTCTTCCCCTAAGTTCATTTCTGCTATTTTGGTTTGTCGGGACGTTCGGTGTTGGGATTCGGAGTGTTTTGGGACACTTAGTCCCTAAATGAGAGCTTAAGAATTGAAAAATGGTCCGTAATCGGAACAGTGTGAAGAAGACCTCGGAATGGAAATCCGATGGTTCCGTTAGCTCCGTTAGGTGATTTTGGGGTAGCGTGTTCGCAATGTATTTTGGAGGCTCGTAGCTCATTTAGGCTTGAAATGCCGAAGTTTGAATTTTTGAAGTTTCCGGTCCGATAGTGAGTTTTTGATCCGAGGCTCGGATTGGAATT